AACAGTTGGGTTAGTCCATATTTGACCCAACATTGGGTTGAAACAACCCAGCATTTTTTAGAGTGTACTAGTGTTAAATGCTACTGTTTTTGACAGCGTTGATAACGTTTATGACAGATAATATTGTGATAATTTTTGCTTTTCCCGTACCGATTGTCATATCCTGTTAGCAAAAACCTGTCCATGGGCTTTTTTGATTGCTTTCAGTTTAAGTGCCGGCGATGCAGTGTTGCCAGATATTGATACTAAAACAATCACAAAAAAAAGAAGAAATTATTTCCAATCTTTTGCAAATAAGATAAAGATATTAGCTGACTCTAAACTGGAACTTACTACTTTATTTATTTTCTAAAGTGTTAAATTAAGTGGAAAAGACAAGTCCAAAAACATAATATATAATAGCTGGATCTGGCAACACGGAGGCTGCGCCCGCGCCCTCACTCACAACAACTCTCTCAAGCCTCGTTCACTCCGCCAGCGTCTTGCAGCGATCATTTTCATAACAGGGACGCTAAACATTCTTGTAAACTGTCTAAATTGAATTATACATGCAATGCAGGTATTCATATGAGGAGTTTAGCATTAAATTAGTAATTCAAAGAACAAATTTTATTTTTGAACATGAAAAATGTACCGAGGTCTGGGCCTCGGTGGCCTCATAGCTGGTTACGGGCCTGGGGCCTCATTTATAAAATACTGCGTAGAAAGAATCCTAAATTAGATTTTACAATCATTTCTCAAAGTGCGTACGTCTGATTCATAGAACGAACTGTGCGTACGCCTCTCTTTTAGATGTGAAATCTATAAATTGCAATGAACTGTGCGTACGTCTGCTCAGACCCGGACGTGGCGCTAAGCTCTTTTCCACGGCTGTGTCCGAAATCGCCCCCTATACCCTAAAAATTTACTGAGGTCTGGACCTCGGTGGCCTCATAGCTGGTTACGGGCCTGGGGCCTCATTTATAAAATACTGCGTAGAAAGAATCCTAAATGAGATTTTACAATCATTTCTCAAAGTGCCTACGTCTGATTCATAGAACGAACTGTGCGTACGCCTCTCTTTTAGATGTGAAATCTATAAATTGCAATGAACTGTGCGTACGTCTGCTCAGACCCGGACGTGGCGCTAAGCTCTTTTCCACGGCTGTGTCCGAAATCGCCCCCTATACCCTTAAATAGGGCACTATTTGAGGGAACAGCCATTTTTAGTGGTGTCCGAAACCATAGTGGATGTTCTCGAGTGCACTCATTCAATCCCACAATGCACTGCAAAAACGAGTGTACAACTGGTGCACGCTCAACGGCTAGATATTACGGCCCATAATGCACCGTGAGAGTCACGCGCCGAATGAATTCCCGCACCTCGCCAGAAGATGGCACCCGCAGTTGAATAATCAATCCGTTCATTTTTACAAAGCGCTCATCCATGGCGGCGTACAGCATAATGTACAACACGGGTATAAATTCATTGTAAATTGATTATTAAATTGTTTGATTAGGGTTTATACATAATTTCCGTGACAGAGTTCGAGATAAATCCTTTAATCTTACTACTGGAGCTGCTAGTTTGCTAGTTTCAAATGATTAATAAACAGCAAGCACAAACTATGCTAAAGCGGCATTCCTTCCGGTGCACTCAGTGTCCGAATTCACTACTCGTTTTCATTCACTCCTTCTAGTGAACTGAATTAGTGACCTAATGTAGAGAATAGTGAATGAGGGTATAGGGGGCGATTTCGGACACAGCCCCCATCAAAGACCGTTTTTATAAATATGAACGTTGCCGTGGATTTTTGCGCACGCACACTCTACGTTAAAATCACTCTACGTTTTATAAATGAGGCCCCTGGTCTTAGTTTGTGTTTACATATAACAACAAATAGGGTTTTTTAAATATAAATTCCTTTTAACATGACCTCTATAGCAATTGTTAGTCCAGACATAATTTTAATTCAAAATGAATTAAGTTTTCTATGGATTTACATCGAAGGCAGAGTAGACGCCATGTTTAATTTTTCGTGCAATGAAAACGAGGCTGCAAGGGATAGATGTACCCGGATGATTCAACGGTTTTCAAGCACTTATTTTCACCAACGCAATTTTATCCAAATACTGAGATGTAGCTGATGTATGCACCTTCTGTAAATATGAATGTAAAGATATTTGTCTTTTTTTTCTTGTAAGGTTTCTACACTTTCTAGAATGATTTGTTTTTCTAAAGTAAATATTGATTGTAGCAAGTCTATGCATTAAGGATGTTATTATTATTTTTTAACAAAAACAAGGCAGAAGATAAGAATAAATCATAATAAAAGTCTACTTTTTTCAGAAGATACGATATATTTCAGGTAGGCCTACAGTAAATGATTGACGGATGGATGGATTGATTTTTGTATTGTTCTTTTCTTTTTTATCCTATAGGATTGAGACATTGTGCAAGAATAAGTTCTGTTTTTTGATATGTGAATATGCTTGAAAATGTTTCAAGTTCCTCTTAAAGTCGCTCAATGATGTTTCTCATGCAACACTAAATAATAAAAGGGGGAAAAGGTCCTATGTGTTGCGGGTATAATTCGTTTTGGAAAGACATTTGTTGCAAATTCAATGGAACATTTCTTTACAACCCCTAAAGAAATACACTATTATTTCCAGCATATTGATGGGCCACATAAATGACATTTTAAAAATTGTGGAGCGAATTCTGACAAGAACATTAAGGCTTCACACACACACACACACCCAGTCATACATCAAGTCTTTATTGAATAGGACATTTATCCTTTGAAAGTCTTACTAGAGAACTTACAGTTTAAGTCAGTGTGTTTTTCTTTGAGGAAGATGAATCTTCTCATAAGGTCTTGTATGTGTGAATCTTTCATTTTCTGCTGTTATTGAATACACTGCCGTTCTCTCTCCATCAGACACATACAAACACACACAACCATCTCCTGTGTCCTTGCCTCCATCCTGCCATAATATATATATATATATACACACATACATATATGCACATCTAAAGAAAACAAATGTTTGTCTTTACAATCTAGCAACTCAGGTGATGTGAATTTGATTAGACATGTTTGAGACTGAGTTTGAGACATTGTTGAGGAGACACAATTTCATGTCTTTGCTGTGTGGGAGAAACAACTGCGACATTAGAGAGTGTTTGAGAGAATGCAAAGTGTCTGCACACACCATAGGCCTATAGCTTCTTCTTCTATACAAAAACCCAATTTACCATAAACAAAGATAACAACATCATGTTATGTTATCATCCTGTTGCCATGACACCCAGCGATGTGGCCTCCGGCGAATCTTGTCCTATAGACCTGCTTTTCACATGCTGTTCCATCATTGCAGGATCTCAGAGGAGGATGAAAGCCTGCTGTAGTGGGTGGTGTGAAATCTCCTGTCAAACGTCTCACTCACTCGACTAGATAACAGCACATTCACTCCAAACACCACTAACGCAACATTAAAGTGAAGCTTGATGTTCAGCTCTGGAGAAATTCAACATCTTAACTCTATTATGAGTGGAATATATGTATATATGAAGTATACTGCATGTACTGTTGGATTGTTGTTAACTGAAACTATTAAAATCATTTTGGTTGATTACAATATATATATATATTGAAAATAACACATATATATATATATATAAAATGAAAATTAGAAACAAAATAAGTCGAAGTATTACAATTACTAAAACAAAACAAAAAAACAACCTACAAATAATTAACTAAAAATCAAAAATATGATAAGTACATGAAGCTACTTATCCCACACGGTGCTATTTTCAAATAAAACTATTAAAATTGTTTTGGTTAATTACAATATAAAATAATATATAACAATGTAAAATAGAACGTTATATATATATATAAAATATAACACACACACACACATTTTATGGGGACAAATTCATAGGCATAATGGTATTTATACGGTCCAGACTGTATTTTCTATCCCCTTACCCTATACCTCTCGCACATAACTTTCAAAAAAGATCATTCTGTATGATTTATAAGCTGCATTCCTCATGGGGACCATGTACACACATGTAATACCAGGTACACACACACAAACACACACACACATACACACACACACACACACACTAACACACACACATACACACACACTCTCTCTCTCTCTCTAAAAAAATGGAAAAAATGAAAAACTGGAAGAAAAAAAAAAGGAAAATACTAAAATCTCAAAAACTATATTGAAATACCATATATAAATTCAGAATAAATCTGGCAACAAAAGACTCATAAATTGGGCATCTTTAGCTCAAACCACACACAAAACTGTGTTTTCCATCTAATGCGCATATGCATTTCCTCTGTAAAAAGACGATTAGCTCCATTAGCCAGACAAACTCAAACTTGCGTCTACAGCTATGAATAAGATGTCTTTATTGTCGTGTTAAATGAAACCATATTCACAATCCATTTACCATGTGGAAGAGGGTAAATGGTCACTTAAAAAAATATAAGATCAATGATGAAAGTTAAAAAGGCAAACCCTTAGTTCGCATGGAAAGGCAGATTCATGATCGTCTGGAGGATCGTTGAGTGATTGTGTATTTTTGTGTGTGTCTATTCCGCTTGTTCGGTCTCATCTGCTGTAATATTCACAAACAATGATATTTTAGCCATGCATATGACTGCTAAATCAACATACTGAAAGTCTGACATCTTTTATAAACTACACACAACCGTCTTGAATTGTTTTCTATACATTTGCTTTTTACATATTTGTACATTTCTGGATTCGCGAACCACATGATCGAATGAATCACAGACGTGATGGTTTAAATAAGAATTGCTCTGTAATACCAAACGACCGTAATACCAAAACGACAATATAGATAAAGAAATGTTGTCATCTTATATTCTAATGATTAAATAAACAAATAAAATGACAAAACAATATCCTCAAAAACTTTAATAACAGATTTGGTAGCCTGTAACTCTCCTGAGAAAGGTATGATAAAATGATTTTGCTTATTATTCTTCTCGTCATATTTGCTCAAAGCAGATGAATTGAGGGGCGCTTCGATTGATAATAAAGTGCCCCATACAAACTATATTTGTATTCCTCCAAGTGTTTCTGTACAACATTCATGTGGTTGACTGCATCATGCTTATTCCTGTTCCAAAATATCATTAAATTAATAATCACATCTTGTACAGGCTTCAAGATTAATAGGCACTTTCCACAAATAGGGTACAAAATAGGGTTTGAAACGCTGATAAAGCTTGCTCGTCCACCTCAGGAGGTCAAACTAAAAATTACATGAGCTGTTTTATTTGAAATATATTTTAGTTATTTAAATAAAAGTAAAATACATGTTTAACATTTTTAAATGTAGAATTTTTTTTTTTTAATTATTACATATTTTAAAATATTATTAATATGTTTTCTATATTTAAAGGGGTCATATGATGTGATTTCAAGTTTTCCTTTCTCTTTGGAGTGTTACAAGCTGTTTGTGAATAGATAAGATCTGTAAAGTTGCAAAGACTAAAGTCTCAAATCCAAAGAGATATTCTTTATAAAAGTTAAGACTCGTCCACGCCTACCTAAAACGGCTCGTTTAAACACGCCCCAACATGTCTACGTCACTGTGTGTGAAGATTTACACAACACTGCCCAAATGTTCACGCAAAGAAAGGAGGAGTAACTTTATTGTTGCTGCCACCGCCGCCTCCATGTTGTGAAGACGCTGTGTGTTTCGAAAAATACTTTGTTATTTAGGACACGTATAATGGGTTTTAATGTTTTTGTCTCGTCGCTCCGGGACACGGCCTGACAGTATTGTAAGGGCTTAAAACATTTCCGTCACACGCTTGAGGAATTCGGCCAATCTCAATGCACTGGATAGCCAGCCAATCAGAGCACACCTCGCTTTTCAGACGATGAGCTTTGTAAAAATCGAAAGGCGGGGCATAGAGGAGAAACAATAATGTAGAGCATGTGGAAAATTATGTGTTTTTTGAACCGCATAAACATGTTTTATTACACCAAATACACAAAATAATGTTCTTTTCAGCAACATCATATGACCCCTTTAAACGAATATCAATTCAACAGATGTTATATGATTTTAACTAGACCTCTGAGGCGCAGCAGGCCTGAATCACCATTTTAAAGGGTCATACAGACATTTGACATATTTAAAACTAGCTGCTTTGAACGCTAGGTTAATTTAACAATTTATCCAACTAGTTCTTTATGAATTTATTGCTTCAAATAAAAGTATCAGGACATTTGGACTCTTTTTGTGGAAAGTGTTGATAGCGTTTCATGACGAATACGGTTCCCATCTAATTCAAAGCTATTCTAAAGCAAACCCCATGATTGTTTTACTACATTATTACAAAATACATAACTCAGTATTTGCAACATTCTATATCAAGGTGCTAATTAAAAACCACAACATAATCAGCTGATTATTCCCAGCGGTTTCGTAAATCAAAACAGACACAACATTACAAAAGAAAAGTGCTTCTCAACATCCTATTTGGCTTCTTCAAAGAAAATGTCCCTCAAACTCTCAAAGTAAAGCCCCTCGTTGCTGCAACGGTACACTCGTACACACATCGATCCCCTCATGAACATTTCAAACATCGACGTCTGATAGTCCCTCAGAGGAAACGTCACCTTTGCTGACAGCGGGCCGTTTGGAAGAACAAAACTAGCTCATTCTGGCTCTTTATTAAAGTAATGGCAGTTTAAGACATCAGGTTCTATATGTGCAAACTAAATGGCGAAACCGACACGATCAAGTCTCTCGCGAACAGCGCCAAACTTAGAATGAACGTATTGAAAACATGCGGGGAAAAGAAAGACCCAAGTATGGTGCAGTTTTAACCCCTTTGACCTTTTTTACAGTTTCTTTTTGATTCAGCTATCATAATCGTGTTAAATTGAAGCGTTCACACACTAGACAAAGTTTTGAGTTTTGCGATCTATGTTTTGGAGGGAAACGTTTGGTCATAAGAGGGAAAACAGCAAACTGGATTTTGCCTCACTTGAAATTCCAAGAGCTCAACAGATACTAAAAAGCTACGTTTGTTTGCACATCGCAACATCGCTTTCACAAACCCTTGCGTTTCTCATCTACGGTACGTTCAGAGAACATTCGCAAGTTACAGTTTTGCAAAATTATAAAATGGAACGTTCCCTTAATGCTTTCTCTAACATTTGAATAACCAAGAAAAAATGGGCAGCAAACAAAAGTATTTTCCAAGAATGTTTTGCTTATGTTCTCATTATGTTAATAAACCATTAGTTCTGAATAGTTTTCGAACATTAAAAAGTCCAGTTTTTTTTTATGTTTTAAAAATGTTCTTTCTTGGTTATACGAACATTAATGGAACATTCCATTGTATAATTTTGCAAACATTATGGGGATGTTACTTTTGAATGTTCTCTAAACATTCTGAAACAAGTTGTAACATTTAAAAAAAGTCTTAGATGAACATCCAACTAAAACATTTTAGAAATAAATGTTCCATGAATGATGTATAAATAATGTTTTTGTGCCAACGTTTTTTTTTTTTGAGAACGTTATTAATGACCAGATAACTTCAAACGTTCTATTAATGTTATAGGAAGAATGTTTGCTCATAACCTTGAGTGAACCTTGCCAGAACATTCTGAGAATGTTCCGTTAGCTGGGTATGTTTTTGCGATGCATCTTTCCCGTTGAAATCAATGAATTTGCAGGATTGTCTAGTGTGTAGACGCCATTCGCGTGTGCATGACGTGTATAAACACCACATTAGTGAAGAGCTCCATGTTGTACCCCTTTGAAAACCTTACGTGGCTCCTGATTGTGGGGTTATTGTATATTGCAGGAGGAGCAGCACGGGTCTTCCTTATCCGGCTGTGAGGCATAGTCCATCTGCCTGACTATCTCCGAGAACAGTTCGTCCACCATGGTTTTGCTCTTGGCCGATGTCTCCATGAACGGGCAGCCCCATTCTTCAGCTAGAGCTTGACCCTCGCTTGATGAAACCTCGCGCTCATTGTCCAGGTCCACCTTGTTTCCCACAAGTATCACGGGCACACGCTCGTACCTGTAAACATACATGACTCCAGAATGAGTGAAATTCCAAGGTGAAAGAGTATAGAGTCTAGTAGAAATTTTTCTTTGGCTCACCAATACATTAAAAAGACTAAACAGACAGTTAAAATACATAGAATGCCTATAACAGACAGTTAAAACAATAATAATATTGAAACATAGTTCATGCCACTATCAGTCACTTGCAGAGTTGAGGATTTTAATGGCATTAGGAACAAAAGACCTCTTAAACACATTTTTGTTTGCTAAAGGAATTCGATAGTGCCTTCCTGACCTCATAGGCTCAAACTGACTAAAGCGAGGATGAGAATTATCTGCAAGAATACTCCTCACCACATTATTTGTCTTTTCAGTGTAGAGTTGTGTTAAGGGCTTCTACTATTTTACTTGCCATTACTACAATTCTGGACAGTTTGTTCTTGGGTTTGCAGTTTAAATGATCGTACCAGGCAGGGATATGAAAAGTTAATACACTCTCAACAATGGATTTGTACACTAGTTCCAGAATATGCTGACTGACACAGAGGCTGCTCAGTTGTTTAAGAAGAAAGAGTCGCTGCGAACATCTTTTGAAAATATACTCTGTTTTCAGTAAAATGCACACGAGAATCCAAAAACTGAACCAAGATGTTTAAAATTTGGCACAATTTCAACTTGTTGGCCCTCAAGTGAAATTGGCTGGATTGTCATATCTAGTTTTGTACACATAATTAATTATTTTGTCTTAGCGACATTGATTTCTAATTGACTTTGTGTGAGCCAGATAGACAACATCATGTGAGGAATTTGTTTTATCCAATAGACCAACTATCATCGGCATATTTAAATAACCTAAAATATTCCTTATTAATCATAAACTCATTAGTAAAGAGAGAAAAAAAGCACAGGGGAAAGAACACAGCCTTGTGGGCAACAAGTGAGCACATCAGACATAACCCCTCTGACACAGACCCTCTGTGGACGGCAAGAAAGAAAGTTTCTTATCCAAAGGACTAACCCTGTATCTATATTAAGTAACTAAACTATTTTAATAGTATTAACTAAAAACTATTTAATTGCATTAACTGAACTAATGAATAAAAATCTAATAAAAAATAAATAAATCTAGTAAAAATGACATTATGCTGATAACAAAAAGTAATTATTTCCATTATTTTTATTTCATTATTATTTTTGCATTATTTTCAACCAAATTAAACAATCATATATATATGATTAACTCTATGCGCAGGAGATGTGTTGCACTGCATGAGGCAAATGGTGGTCACACCAGATACTGACTGGTTTTCAGACCCCCCCCGGACCCCCCAATACAGTAAAACTGCACATTTTAGAGAGGCCTTTTATTGTGGCCAGCCTAAGGCACACCTGTGCAATAATCATGCTGTCTAATCAGCATCTTGATATGCCACACCTGTGAGGTGGATGGATTATCTCGGCAAAGGAGAAGTGCTCACTAACACAGATTTAGACAGATTTGTGAACAATATTTGAGAGAAATAGGCCTTTTGTCTACATAGAAAAAGTCTTAGATCTTTGAGTTCAGCTCATGAAAAATGACAGCATTAACAAAAGTGTTGCGTTTATAATTTTGTTCAGTGTATATATATATATATATATATATACACACACACACATACATACACACATATAAGATGAAACTGTTCAGTATGTTTTCTTTACCAAGATTGACTGTGTTCATATGAGAGCACTTCGCTCCAATTATTGAACCACCACCCGATACCTGAGGTCAAAATCATGACGATGCAAATTTATTTGTCTTTTTCCCAGCGGCACACTATCTGCATGTCCCTGACCGCCGCAGATGTCTTGGACGTCCAATAAGAGGCTCAGGATGCATCTAACACTGTGAATCATTCCCTCCATAGACTCTGAGTCAGAGCTATTGATCTGTCAGACGCTCGAGAAAAACGAGGCTCTTTACAGAAGAGTGTGTCCAACGCTCATCAGACCAGCTGAGTCATGAAAACCAGACTGAATACAGAGAGCGGAGGAGTATCGGTTTGATATCAGCTCTAATTAAAGGAGGAAGATCTTCAGTGACTGCCGAGAGTGATGATGAACACCAGACTGAAGGTCTCAGTGACTGTGTGAAGAAAACATGACGGCTCTTTTTAAAGGGTTAGTTCACCCAAAAATGAAAATTATATCATTAATTACTCACCCTCGTGTTGTTCCAAACCCGTAAGACCTTTGTTCATCTTCGGAACACAATTTAAGATATTTTTGATGAAATCTGAAGGCTCTCTGACCCTCCCATAGACAGCAAGGTAACTACCACGATCAAGGTCCAGGAAAGTACCAAGATGATCGACAAAGTAGTCCGTGTGACATCAGTGGTTCAACTGTAAAGTTACAAAGCTACGAGAATACTTTTTTGTGCAAAGAAAACAAAAATAACGACTTTATTCCACATTTTCGTCTCTACTGCGTCACTTTGAATGCACATTCACGACAGTATCATGATGCGAGCATGTGGCGGAGCCGGCGCTGACCCAGATCCGGCGTGATGACGTCATTAATGCCGGATCTGGGTCAGCGCCGGCTCCGCCACCCGCTCGCATCATGATAGTCTCACGGACTACTTTGTCGATCATCTTGGTACTTTTCTGAACCTTGATCGTGGTAGTTAACTTGCTGTCTATGGGAGGGTCAGAGAGTCCTCAGATTGCATCAAAAATATCTTAAATTGTGTTCCGAAGATGAACGAAGGTCTTACGGGTTTTGAACAACACTAGGGCGAGTAATTTTTGGTTGAACTAACCCTTTAATAGCTTGGGACACTTAAAGCAATATAATTCATCTAAAAATTAACATCCTGCCATCATTTACTTTCATTACTCCAGTCTTCAGTGACACATGATCTTTCAGAAATCATTCTAATATGTTGATTTGCTGATTTTTTTTCAGGATTCTTTGATGAGTAGATCAAGTTCAAAAGAACAGCATTTTTAAAAAAAAAAGAATCTTTTGTAACAAATGTCTTTATTGTCACTCTTGATGAATTGAATGCATCCTTACTTATATTAGTATAACATAATTATATTAGTTTAACATGAGCAGAGCTCACTTGAATGACACTGTTCAGCATTATTTCTGAAGCAACAGCAATCACTAGCATCATTCACATCATGTTATTGCATCTAACATTTCCCGGCCTCAGCTAATATTCATCGTCACACTAGCGGGATGCTAGCGAGGTGTGAATGGTGAGTGGGTGTTAAGCGGCACACAGAAGAAATGTCATCTATTGGTGGCGAACAGGAGAAGCGCTATTTATATCCAGACTTACACGAGGGAAATCTAAAGCTCTGCAAGGAACGCCTGTTTGAGCAGGTCTGGGATCAATTGTGTCATATTCATGAACATATGCTTTCATATTCGTCATGTACATTACACTATTTATAAGATGAGCTCAAAACAATGCCACGTTTGGCAGTGGGAAACCCAGGCAATCTGAGTCAAAAGAGTTACGGTAACAATTAATTGTTATTTTGAATGCTTACATGTCGTACATTCTGTTTCTGTACACATTTTATGTGCCGCTGATGAAGAAGAGCAATAAAGCTGGGAAACATACTACCCATTCAAAACTACTTTCCCCAAAACAAATTTCCCACCCTTCTTACTGTCAGCAGGACTCATAGAAAATACAAATACAGCATTGATTACACAACTAATATGTCTTTTGCTCTTTATTTTGTTTTATAAGTACTCAAAAAAAGTATTTATTAATTATTTATTAAAATGATTTGTTTTTATATTGTGTTATTTTATTTCTAATTATTAAAATCATATCAATGTAATATATTTTATATAACATATATTTTAATTACAATTAGAATATTAAATTTAAACAAATCATATATATTTCATATATTATCATATTATATATTTATTATAAATAATCTGTTATATATCATATATTAAAATGTATATTATATATAAATATATTATTATTATGATTGATATAATAATGAAATATTATATAATGAATATTAAATATAATAATATATGTATGGTATTTGTAATTATTTAATTATTTAATTAAATAAATATTTATATTATTGCAT